AGGGATTGGGAATTGAAATTAAAGTGTTACAATTTGTAGATGACGTTGTTGTTTATATCAGAATAAATGATCTCGAAACTAGGAGACGCCTATTAGAAAAAGCTCTTTTACAGATCGTAAATGGGCTTAGATTCATTGGTTTGGACGCTTCTTCCGAAAAGACATTGCAGTTGTTAAAGCAATATTTATATTAGATTTTTGAACATACATTGTCTGAGAAATTTTGTGTCTATTTACTTTAATTAATTAAATTTGATATATTTATCAAATTAAAATAATTAAATATGTTTATTATTTTGTCATCAACTAATGTTTATTAATATTTCAGTATTTCGTTGTTTTGCTATATATGACTTTGTCAGGGTCTAAATCCTTATCACAGAGTAAGCAAATACTTTCTTGGTTTTAGGTTGACTGTTTACATCCATCTTCTATCAATACATCTCAGCTACATCTTGTTGATCTCATGAACATCCTGCTATGCTCTAGAAATCGTCAGTCTCAGCCATGATGTTAAAATTGTTAAAAGTTGTTAAAAATTACAACTTATTGATTTATAATTTATAAGATATATATTATAAGATATTGATAATTGTGCAATATTACAATATTCATGATTTATTGAAGTGTGTAAAAATTCTACTAATTGACAATAAAATACAAGTATATGTTGCCAACTGCATTGGCCGAGTGCTCACTTCAAAAGTATTTTTTAAATATATATTGCAACGGAAGTCGATTCGATTAATCGATTCATTCGCGATTCGGTACACTCGCGATGCTCAAACGAACGACTAAGAGAGAGAAAGAGAGAGAGAGAAGGTGCGCGAGAGTTTAAAAAGTTTTTAGTTAAGCTTCAGCTGTTTTCGCAAGAGTACCGCCAATTTAGTTTTGCACCATTTTTCGCCGTTTTCGCTAATAAAGTTGTTTCCTGGATTTTTAGGCGTGCGCGAGTCCAGGAAACAACTTTATTTTGCAAGCAGCATCACAGCAGCAGAAAATAAAGCAGCAGATATTTGCGAGCGAGGCAGTGCAGCTGATTCTGATCAGAGGAGCACCTTCTATTTTCTTCGACAATTACGACTGATCACTGTAATTGCACCGCAAGGTAGGTGCACCTCCCTTTTATTGCGCGACAAAATATTAGCGAGAGTATTTTGTCTATCGCGATCGTTATTTTTTATATTCGCGCCGAGCGTTAGTTTTCGCGGCAAAAGTTCGAATTCTCTCTCTCTCTCTCTTCGTATTATTATTAATCATTGTAAATCCTATTCGCGTGCGTTAGTCTTTCGGTCCGTAAAAGATTGTAATTTTCTAGTCATAAACGTGTGATGATGCGTCATCACAAGAAAAATATATACTACCTGCGCTAGCCCGCTTCGGCTAGAAAATGCGACCGAACAGCTACGGCTGCATGCACCCGCCCACGCACGTCCAGATCTCGCGACTTTTGGTCCCCCGAAATCTCCCTGACCGATGCGCACGACCCTTACGCCCGCATACAACCCCTCGCGCACTCACGACCCGGTCCGACACTCCCTCGGGAAGCTGGAAGCCCTTAAAGTTTCCAGCCGTGATCAGCTGATCGTAAGCCCCCGTTAACTGAGGCAGACTTAGCTAGACTAAAGTAGGGGCAACCGAGCGCGTGAGAGCAGGCGAGACCGCCGATACGAGACCGCTAACTGGTCAGCCAATTGTTATCGGCTTAGGGGTAGCTAAACTAATAGGATGAAACCGACGCTACCTTTGTAACCAGTAGGCAAATTAGGCGCCAACGCACAACCAATAAACAAATTACGCGGGCTAGAAATACCGGTATAGACGGCGCTGACACCCGGCTTAGCAACAAGCCAACCAATCAACTAATGACTAAGAGGAAGTAAGTTAAGAGAAGCGGCGCGTCGTCGAAAAACGGCGCGCCAGTACCCGTCCAGCCCTGGTGCCGACCAGTGCACCGCTGAGCCCTGGAGCCAACCAGGGAAATTCTGCGCGAGTGCCGCAAGTGAGTGAGTATTAGCAGTGAGCGAGTATTAGCAGTGAGTGAGTATTAGCAGTGAGTTAGCATTAGAGCAATAGCATTAGAGCAACAGCATTAGTAACAACAGCAGCAACAGCATTAGCAATAGCATTAGCATCAGCAATAGCAACAACGGCAGCACCAACAACGACAATTGTAGCGGTAGCTACAGCAGCTTTAGCGGCGGTGGCCGCGACCGCAATTGCCCTAAAAAAGTGTCGGAGTAAGTACGCTTCTCTACTCTTAATTATGGCGTGGTTGCCGAACGTCCGCGTTACGGGAGTGCCGCACGTCTCTCGCGCGTCCGATGATGTCGTTTTCGCGCATACTCTTGTCGTATGACCTTCGTGCGCTTAAAGCTTCGCTATCATGCGTGTTTTGTCGTTGAACTTCCGAACATTCTTCTTGTTGCGCCGCCGCATTCTCCATTGTCCGGAAGACGAAATCGTCGCGTGATTGCCGAACGTCCGCGGCACGGGAATGTCGTATGACCTTCGCGCGCTTAAAGCTTCGCTATCATGCGTGTTTTGTCGTTGACCTTCCGAACATTCTTCTTATGCGCCGCCGCATTCTCCATTGTCCGGAAGACGAGATCGCCGCGTGATTGCCGAACGTCCGCGGCGCGGGAATGTCGTATGACCTTCGCGCGCCTGACTTCGCTATTATGCATGTTTTGTCGTTGACCTTCCGAGCATATTCTTTGTTGCGCCGTTATACTGTCCGATGTCCGAGAGACGAATTCTCCGAGTGCGCGCGTCTATGTATCGTAAATTAGTCGCCTAGCCTTACCGATTAGCAAATGAGCTTTTCCCTGTTGTCGTGCGGAGAGCGAAACGTCCGCGTACGTATTTGTCATAGTTCTTTGAAGCGAATTTCCCCCGCGAGTTGATTTGACGAAGCAAGGTATGACCTTCGCGCAAACCAGGAATTCACACGCGCGCCGATAGATTCCCTTTTCTGAAGTCGATTGAATACATTGCGCGAGTCGTGTCCGACCTTCGTCCGACCGACAAAGTTTTCCGTGCACACATCACTAGTCCTTGTTTTCGTTACGCGATTATTGCTGTGAGGTGCTAACAACATCGCGAGCAGTGATTAACCTCCGCGCGACCGACCGAATTCTTGCATGTGTTTACCTCGAGCGAGCTGGAATTTTCGCCGCAAGTAGACAACCCGACATCGCGTCATTTCGTTTCCTAATAGTTTAACAGATCTATCACGGATTAAATGTTAATCCGATTTCATCTAGGGGATTAGTCGGATTAAGCATTAGGTCATTCACACCTAAGATGAATCGAGTGTCACAAGTTAGGTGACTTAAAGTGAGTTCAACTCTGTTAGAAAGTTGACACTGTAAGGAAAGTATCAAACGTAAAGGCGAAGACACGTATAATCATACGTGATTAACGGAGCGGCGGTTAGCTGTGCATCGTGGGAGTTTGTGCTTCAATAAATTCTTATTGCATTAGTTAATCCACCCCGTTACAATATGTTATTAATTGTCAATGAGTTAGTGAGGGTAGATAAGAAGAAAAATAAGTTTTTCAATGATTTCATGATTAAATATTTGTATGTGTTTTTATTTTTAATTTTGTTCCTAATGTCTTTTTACAAAAAATGTCATGTTCTTTTATATTTAAAAAACTGATCCTCATATCAGAAATGGTGAAAACTTATAGTTTTATAACTTCTGTAAACGATAGTAATAACGGTATTATAATTTGTGCAGTAACAGCAATAACAAATTACAATCGTAGTATTAAAACGATCATTAATACGAAGTATAAAAAAATTATTTTGAAAATTGAAAAAATGTCAAAAGTAATCAATCATAGATAAAAATAACAATTATATAGGATTTCAAAACAATTATTCTGTATCGATGACATACGCTTAGATCTTGTAATTAAATAAAAATTGATTTTTCAAACACAAAAATTAAAAAAAATTCAGGCAAAAATTTTTTTTTTCATAAATCACAGAGTCAAAGAGTCCTTTTCCGAAGTAAGGAAAATTACTATAAAATTTAAAGTTCACGACAGGTATGACAGAAACGTCTCACACTTTGAATTTATACTACTAATCATTGTCTAAGGATTAAATTTTCACTTGGGTCTTCACTATTTGAGGCTGTTACAAAAGGACTATTAAAAAAGGATACGGCCTTGACTAAATGTATTATAGATGAAAATGTATTCTGTCGTTTACATTATATTGAGTAGTTTCATAAATTAAACTATAATTTATATTGAGCAAAGAAATAAGAGAGTGACACCTAAATTCTATAAATAAAAACTATCTCTACTAAATTTATTTTTGACAACGTTTCACTGGCTTGTTTTCATCATGGTCTTTTATTAAAAAAATAATAATAAATCAATCCGTTGTACAAACATGATAACAATTGTACAATAAAAATTGTATAAAATCGTATAACAAAAAAATATGTACCACCGCAACTGAAGATTTTTTCAAGATTACGTTATCGATTGTTATGAGTCAATAAAAAATTTATTGTAACATTTGTTAAATAAAATAAACAATACAGTGAAGTTAATACTCATAATCGGATATAAAGCAATCAAAAAATGCAATACAAAATACAAGTGAGAAGTTACACGACACAAGTCAAACTAAGAAACAGTGAGAAAAAAACGAAAAGAAAAGAAAATTAATTCTTTTTTTTCACTCATTCAATATTAATAATCATTCCATAATAAGTATCATGAATTTTGCAAAATAAAATGAATTTTATTTTTTTTTGTGCAAAATTCATGATATTTATTGTGAAAAATACGTGGTCTTTAACTCAGAAAACTTAAAAAGGTTGGCAGATTCTGGCTAACGAAACATCTTAAAGAAAAAAAGTACTTGTTTTTTCTTTATTACCTGAAAAGTTTTACTCTTATCTAAACCATAAATCGGATCTTCAATCGATATCTTAGACAAATCATTTAATGATCATATAAATATTCAAACTTACCAAATGGGTAATTTTAGATAATTTCGATAGAGGTAATAAATCTCCTCGTAATAACATCCCGCTAACAGCTTTCAATCTCAATTCTTTACATCCATGCAGATTGCTTATTGATTCTATATTAAAAGAATCACATTTTATAGACATAGCACTTAATACTTCTAATTGAGGACAATTTTTCATAACTTCTTCAACAACTATTGCAGGACATCTGCATAGTTCAAGCTTGATGAGACTTGAAACTTTGGGTATGATTGTTACAAACTTTTTCCAAACATTATCAGCTTCTCCCGCAATCAACATTTTCCTCAAATCTAAATGTTGAGTACCACGACATTTCAAAGTATCTGCTAGACCATCCCAATCAGTCACCTGACTATTTTTCATACGTACTGTTTTCCATAATGAAGGATGGGCAGCAAGATCCCTCCACATGTGACATACTCTTGCAGCTCGTAGTAATTCTTGGACTTTCAAGTATTGAAAAATACGAGAAAGTGCGTGGTATCCGGCACAAATAGAAACCATAAAATGTTGTCGATGATCACTTTCTACTAATGTTTGTTTTTTTCTGAAAAAGAAAAAAGAATTTATAATTATATGTTTTCAGCTTTACGCCTGATATTAGTTATAAATATAGTTTATGAGTTTTTTTGACCGATTTGGTATTTTTATCTTATTCTTAAATTGAGAGTCTAAAGACAAGAGAACAATCGTAAATTAAGAATGCGAAAAACTGTAATAAGACGATCAAACTCATGATTTTGCGCATACTCAACAGTAGTCTTCTTGTCTTTCGGCTCAGTAAGTCAAGTACCAAGCACCGAGTATATAATGATTTGTATGAAGTATTGCCATCAGAAAAACTTTATTTATATTAAAACAATTGTTTCTTGGTTACTTATCTATGGAAGTGAAGTAAAAAAATGTGATGTAACTCAGAATAATTATTTGCAACGATAATTTATTCATTTGCTTAATGATCGTGTCAGGTTCTTTAAATAAAATTATTTATGAACTATTATTTATATATTTTATTCTAATTGTCGATGAAAAGTATCGAATGATGTATCGTTTATTGAAAAAATTAATTGATAGTACCATTTTACAGACGTATAAAATCTGTATTTAATATTACGTGAAATAACCTCGTCAGAATCGTTTTGAATCTGATTTATATTTAAAAGTGATTTACTTAAGGAAAAATCAGCACATATTGTGAAAATATTTGAAAAGAAAAATCTAAATCCGTTTTTTGTTATCATATTTCATTTGTCATATTTACTATGTATTTTTGAAAGAAACACACGGATTAGCTGCTTTTGCAAAGATATCAGTATTTTTTGCTCGTGAAAATGATAAAAATCATCGATAAAATTCAATGATAAATCCACTTTCTGCTAAAGTGCAAGTCCTCAACAGTCGTATCTGAGCTTGCAATATGTATATTTAATATATTAATTATTTAGACATGAAATTTTTTAGCATAGATAATATTACTTTGCCTCATTCATCACGAAACATATATCCATATCAAAACGGTGAGAATCAAATGACTATGTGAAAAAGCTATTACTCGTGCGCAACAATGACGATTAGGTCGTATTGGAAAATAGTAATGTGTGATTAGTAATAGTGACTAGATATTAGTTTAATACAATATTTTTGTAAATAATGTATTGATAAGAACCGTTCAACTATTCAACTCTCTCTCTCTTTCTCTCTCTCTCTCTCTCTCTGTCTCTTTCAAGCAATTTCTAACGTAGTCTGTCATTATTCACGTTCCAAAAATTCTAAGGGAATAATATAGTGTATGAACAATAAATAAAAAAGAGGGGAACCTGAATGAATCCGAGGTAAATCAAAATCCGTATAATAAAACTATATTGTTGTTGAAGTGGAATCCTTATAAAAATTGGAGGATTAGCAAACGAAGTGAAGGGGGTAACAATCTCTGTATTATATAGAATGAAATTAACAGAAAGAGACTATAAAAAAGGACAAAATGAAGGAATGGGGGCAGATAAGGAGTAAAAAGCCGTAAAAATTAATCATATATTTAAAAATTGAAAAATACATGAAATAAAACTAACTTAAGACCAATTAGTATGGCTGAATAGTAAAAAATTTTGTATTCCTACGTAGAAAGTGAAGCATTTCAATATATAGAGTCAAATTTGGAGGAAATATGCACGATGTTGAAAAATGACCTCGATGAAAATTGTATGATTCAAAGATGGACAATCATTAATTACTGTGAACTTGAGCTTGAACTTGATTTTCAATGGTTAAAATGTAGATTTTCAAATAGGAATCTCTATTTTGTTGCCGGATTTGAAAATACCGGAAAATACAACATTCAGATAAAGTATGTTATGCGAAGTTCGGAAAACTCCTCCTCAAGGTTACTCTAAAGTCATGTGAAGTTCAATTTTATTTTTTCCCTCATTTTATCGAAATAACTAAGCAAAGATACGGTTTAGCGGAAAATAACAATTACAAAAAACAATAATCCAATAATTCAAATAGTTGAAAATTACTTAAAGTGAATTGGTTTTATAAAATGAAAATAAATAGAATAAATATGAATTATATAACATTATCTTTATCTAATTTTTCTTTTTATTAATTTGCATTAATAAAAAAAAATGATAAATGCAGCGTCATACTTTTAATAAATTAAAATTAAAATACACATGATAGGTGTGAGAGTCTGAAATTACTTCACTGAAGTGAAAGCTCTTATTTTTAATTGATTACTAACGACTGATTGTGTATTTAAAGTGAACGCTCAGTGCACAAAGAAGAGGGTCTCCAAGACAGGTTTTTGGCCCAAAAAATTTTAAAAAATTTATAGAGTATCTGCTAATAATAAGAAGTCGATTCCACTCTTAACGGATCCCTCTCATCCACCCGCCCCGTATTCGCCCTAGGCACCTCTTAAAAAAAAGAAGACTTCATTGCTTCTATGTAGTGTTTTTGAGAGAAAATCTAATAAAAAAATTCAGAAAGATACGTATGGTTTTAGAGTCGCTGATCTATATATTATAAACAATTATATGCAAAAAAACATGATTTATTGGGAGAAATTCATTTTTGACCACGTTTTTGGATTTATGCTTCTGAAAATTCATTCACAAAGATTTTTAAGTTCGCCGAATATGAAACCGGTGTCAGAATTTGAACCAAAAACCCTCGTGTATCAATTTACAGCGAATAACTCCTTATAGAATAATGCGTGCTTCAAAGAGTTAATCAACACTACTGAAAAGTCGTAGAGATCAGTTCCTAAATTTTATTTGTTCGTATTCATTGCATAGTAACTATTCAACGTAGGTCTTCAAAAAAGCGTCCTGTTAATGGGTTCAGATTCCGCCAGGATAGAGGTTTAAATTGGAAAATGATATTGATTATCTTTTGACCTTCAAATACGAATAATTAAAAATTTCGCAGTCATAGTTGACACCGTATTAATTTTTTTATCTCTACATGACCTCTGAGGGACAACAGTATCCCACACAAGTTACATCACCAGAACTTAAAATTTCCAGCTCTTTCTAACTACGGGTTCAAAAATAGGGGTCGGGTTCCTATTTAAAAAAACAATGTTTACCTTCAAATAACTTTGAAACTGACCATCAAAGTCAAAGGCAAGGTCATGTCCCTCTCAGAGTCGAACAACTTTTGTCTGAAACATTTTTCGCTAAACATTACCTGAGTAGAGATATACAAGTGTATCGATTAAAATGAACCATTCTGTATACCATCCTGTACAAGTATGTTATTTATACCAGCTGGTTTCGGTACATTCATTACTTACTTAAATATATAACATTGGAATTTTGACAACATTTCTTTTTTGGTGTGCAAAAGGAACTGACCAGTACTATAACTTCATCTGAGAAGATAACTGATGTAAATAACTCTCTGTTATACAGCCCAACGACAAAATTCAAGGCATACTTGCATACCGTGAAGCGTTAGTTCTTGATTTAATGTGATTATGATAAGTATAATACATCTGCTCCTTTAGAATTCTGAAAATTGCTGGCTTTGATATTGCTAATTCTCTTTCAATTTTACAAGGATTAATATGAAAATTTAAATAGAACATATTTTCATCAAATTTGCCATGGCGACGATTACGATGTTTATGATGTAACCGTCCATTACGGGTAAGATAATTGTTAAGATATATGAAATAAATAACATATTTGATGTAAATAGTTCTTTTCTTTCCGATACTCATAAAATTTTTTCAACATTATCGTTTTTTAATTCATTTTACATTTACCTAAGTTTTTAAGATATATGGAATAAATAACATATTTAATGTAAGCTGTAACAAATATAAATAGTTCTTTTCTCATTCCGACGTTCTTAAAATTGGTTCTATATCATCCTTTTTTTTTTAATTTCGTTGGATATAAAATTTTGTTTTTCCTCGAATAAACTCATCTTATAATTGACACCATATTCATCATAATCACTATTTTCATCACCTTTGAATACAATTAAATTTTCATCTTTCTCAATTATGTCAACATGTCTACTTCTAACTATTTTATTATTTATCAATACTCTATATCCAACATCACCATACCCTAATAAAATACCTACGTCGGCTTTTCTATCCCATTTCATATTTCTTTTTATTTCTGGCTCTTTTACGAAAACTATGCTACCATATATACACAAGATTTTAACGACGGGTTTCTTTTTTAAGAAAATTAAAAACGGTATATTATTTTCACTCGTAATCGTTATTATTCTTTTTTTGAATAAGCTGCAGCTTTAACTATTTCTGGTCAATATTTATGATTCGCTTTGGCTTCATTTTAATTCTTTTATTGGTAAAATCTTATACTTTATTAATGCAGTCAACAAAATGATCATATGTTTTTAACTTTGAGTTTACAATATGAATTAACATATATTCATTCACTGTAGTCAAGAATAAAAGTTAAAACGTATTTCGAGACATCAAATAACATTACATGTAGTCCATTCATATTGGCATGCACTATTTCCAATATTTCGGTTGTTTTAGTTCTTTGATTTTTGAACTACAAGTTATAATTTTATTCAAGGTATACGTCGCACTTCAATATTTTTGGCTAATTTATCCGCCAGGTGATCAACTAAATTATTTTTACAAATATCGTCTAAATACTTTAAATTCGTCTTACCTAAAATTTTATGAAATCTTTCTATCTGAGTTATATTATTTTTATTTATATCTACAGTATTACTTACTTTATAACGATAAAATTATTTATTATATAAACTTGGTAAGCTATTGCGATCAACTTATCTCGTTTGTTATAAGTTCTCGAATTATTTTCAAAAGAATAATTTTATGAATATTTGTTACTTTTGCGAAATTTAACAAATTTTTATCTATTTCCTTAACATCAAATTCATTGGATATTCTAATTCTTCTTGTTATTTACATTTACATTAAAATAAGTTAAGATTTTTCCGACTTTAGTACCTTGTGACGTTCGGGTCACTTTCTCAGGAACGTCTGAGGCATACGCTTTCTCAGGTGCTCGATGCGGTCTGCGTCTG